TCACTTGGCCTTGAGGCGAAAGTAATATTTCACAAGCCTACAAATGTCCCACAAGAATGTACAACCCTCAATTGACGTTGCATGCAACACACAGGTGGCCACAACCTGTCAAACAAACTACACACAACTTAAAGCTTTGTGCTCTAAGCAGAAAACACTTCAGAATCCTTTCATAGACCCACAGGGTTCAAACCTATGCGATCCAGAGACACAGAAACACAGAAACTCATCCACAAGCCACAGGGTTTGAACCTATGCCACTTGGGAATAAACCAAAAACCCTCACAGAGTATTGACAAGCCAAAGGGTTCAAACCTCTGCCACTTGCAACAACTCAGAAATCACAAACACGTTCCACAAACACAAATACACATTCAAGTTATCACAATACAATATTTCTCCGAGTTGAGCACAATCAATTACTGTCCAGAATCAAGCTAGGCATCGCATGTGAGCAAGGCATGCCTTGCGACCTCTCAAGTGTTTCAAAATAATTCTAGAACCAATGATATTCTCTCGCTCAAAGCTACAAACACAAGTCCTTTGGTTGCACACTAGGCTCTCTGCTTTGTGTCACAACTGCGGGGGTCCAAAAGCTTGCTATCTACTTCTAATTACTGTGCTTTTATCTACAGCTAATTATATAAATAGAAATATCGAAAATAGATACGCTCCACCCCAGAGCCATTTCCTCTCCATGACATGTCAATCGCATGGTCACTAATTAATATTTTGAGTCAATCATCCAAGTTAGTGCTCAGTAACATGCTGCTCATTCCACTTGGCAAAGTCTAGAGTTGCCACATCATGCAGAATATTTCTCCTAATTTGCTCCTTGTTTTTAATTCCTCTGCTGCACACATCACTAGCAAGCTGGTATTTTTATTTGGTTGCCATGCCACCTTTTCTTAGTTCCATATTTCATTCTGGGTACAGGGTTTCTCTTGTGTCAGCTGAAATCCTCTCAGGAGGCTCGGACTGGGTGGTCCTCAGTTCTGAATGATGTTTCTCAGTGATTGCCAGATTGGCAGGGTTCACGTGTCATAGATCAATGTTGCATGAAGCTCCATTAATATATTATCTTCTCAGTGTATTTTATTTGAGTGAAGCACTGCTGAGGGATGCATAGGGTGTGAGTTAGGCACTGCGACTTCACACTTAAATGACACCAGTGTGCCATTCTAAGTCTAAGCCATGCGTTGCACTCGGATTATTTTATTATATGCTGCCTCTGCCTCAGTAGGTGCCGCTCTATGCCAGCTATGCATTATAATATTACTTAGTGGGTTGACACATGCTTGAACTCATAGAATTCACAAAATTACACATATGCACGCATTGCACATGTGTCATATCCCCCTCACTAAGCTTTGGACCTTCCATGGTCCATTGATGTGCTCGGTAATGGCGAGTGACAAAAGGCTAGCGAATGGATATGAACACCACAACACCAAAACCCTCTACTACTCTACACTAATCACCAATATTATTGAGTTCGGGTGTTTTGAGTACAATAGAAGCACTCTGCAGACTTCAACAAATCAGGGAAAGGTTGTTTAAAGACGTATATTTGGTACTAGTGAGCTACACAAGATGTAATACTCGTGCTAGCGGGGTTTTAAGACACGATTGGATGAATAGTGACTTGTGTTGAGCAACTGCGCTCAGTCTAACTCTGATACTTCGAAACTAGTGGCACTCTGGGCCAAATACTGGGTCTCACAAGTGGTCTACACTTGACTAGCGGCACCCTAGGCTCGACTAGTGGCACTCTTGGCCTAAGAACAAATACTTTAACTCTGAGAAAATACTTTAACTAACTTCGAAACGCTCTGAGTCACTCCAAGACAGAATAGTAACTTTAAGACACTTCAATTCGTTCAATACTATAGGTGACTAAACGACTAGTAGACACTTTGTTGAGGTTAAGCACAAAAGCCTTTAATTGAGGCACTAGAATACTGACTAGTAGGTCACAATCATGGGGATGGCTTGCCTGCCATGCGAGGCCACCCCTCCTACTACTTATATACTACAGAGACAGGTACAGAATAAATATAAATAGATTCTCTAGGGGTAATATTGGTAAGGATGTCTTGGCTAGTCACGAAATATGGGGAATAATCACGCAATAGTCAGCCTAGCCTGTTCTTTCTGTCGGATAGCGGGTCGAGGGACTCCGCTATTGGGTCGTTTCTGCACCCTTTTGCCCAGCAGTGCTCCACTAGTGACACGGCTATACGAATAGTCAGGTAACCGTGCCTGTAGCAACTGCTCGATTGTGATCAGGGCGCAGCCCGGCTATACTAGTGCCGATCGTATGAGATCTGTATCACACTAGCCGGATCTGGGCTAAGGATTATGCCTTTACTGGTTCATTTCTAAGTCCTTTTCAGAAGTGCTCGCGTGACTAGTCATCCTGACTTAGGCGTTCATGCCCAGATCGGTCCACTAGCGACTGAATAGTAGAGATCTGTGTGGGTTCTTACTTCTTGTTTGGGCGCTAGCAGCTGTATTCTTTACTAGTGACCGTATTTTACTAAGTCATACTAGCTTTGGAGGTGCTAGTCCAGTCGGCTGGTAGGGCTGACCCACTAGTGGTATCATTCCTAAGTCCTGACTCGACTAGTAGCATGCTAACTTGACTATCAGTCTGAAGTCTCAACTATAGCCCTTGATATACGACTAGTATAGGATAGACCTGCAACAGTATTGTTATAAAATCGCAAATTCTAGGTGTGAACGTGTAGACGGCATATCACCATGCATGTGGATTCCCATAGATTCCAATGGGTCCTGGTTACCGTGGCAGCTTCTTTTCATGTGGAAAGAAGTCCTGAGTCATGTAGCATCTTCGGCTTCTCATGACTGTGGAAACTTCTTATGTTCTCTCTTTTCTTTTTATGTCATGTCAAACATCTAGGAATATTTAAACTGACTCCAGTCTGTTTTCCTCTCTTCCTTACCCTCTCTTTCGCTCCACCTCTGTGTCATACACAGGGGTCATCCTCTTGTTATCTCTCATTTTATTTCATACTTTCATTGCCATCACCATCACCTGTCATGGTCACCAAGGATGCCCTTGCCATCTCATATGCTATCCCCCTTGAGGAGCTTTGCCACAACCTGTGCAGGGCCCATATGCATGTTGGTCATTACTTTGATATTCGACAGCTCAGCTGCACCTCTGATTATGAGATGAAGGCGGTGTTGGTCAACGCTCACCAATATCTGGTGTGTCTTAAGTTATTTTCTCCTCTTTTCTTATTTATTTTGCTCTTCCTAGGACGCTGATGAGCCTAAACTTCCGTGGCAACGGCAAAAACCAAAACTCTAGAGGAGTTCATGGCAAATGGTGTGTAGCAGCAATAAAGGCTTTGTTGTTGTGCGAGTGTTTCAGTGCACCTCCATGCAATGAATTCCTCAAGAACGCAAGTATATACTGTGACTTTTCAGTCAGCAAAGTAGTACCCTTAACGAACGAGTACTAGAAAGCGTTGGCTGTAAGCCAGGAAGGGTCTCAATGTAGGAGAAGGAACGGAATCTGGTATAACTGGGAATACCGGCAAACCATGAACAAAGCAATGGCAATTAACTAGTAAAAGCCATGGGTGGAATTGGCAGAATTAATGGAAACATCATCAAAGAGAAATACCATTGGCAAGATAACAAATACCATGACAGCAAGAGACGAAGACTGTAGTCAAGAAACTGGCGGTAAAACGAAGAGAGACTGGCTGGCGGAAATATGAAAGGGAACTAGTGGTGGCAAACGATGAACGGAACTGAGCGATGATGAAACTAAAACTGGACTGAGGTTAACTGCAGTAAAATGAAACTGATACTGATCCTGAGTCTACATGGAGACTATCCTATACTGAAGCTGACGGCAAGATAACAAATACTGAGACAGGTGATCCTATGCTGAAACTGACAGCAAGATAACAAATACCATGACTGAAGGTCCTATATACTGAAACTGTTGACCAAAATTCTGTGACAGACACTGCTGGCAGCAATAACGATCCTAATCTGTGTCCACATGGGGACGTAACTGTACTGAGCTGAACTGGGGTGAAATGATGGCAACGTAGAAAGTGAAGACTGGTAAAACGATGCTGGCTGGTGAAAGTGAAATGATGCTGGCGGAATAAAAGATAAAAGCAAGTTGTGGACACGAAATTCTGTGTATTGGTGCAATATGAGCATACACCAATACCGTTAGAAGAAAAGCCATGACAGAGAGTATAACTCGGAGTGACTATGCTGTTATTGTCTGTCTCCTAGTGGGTACAAGAGATAGTGGTTGTAGCAACTTAGTTACTTGTTGTTGATAACCTGTGTCTCCCCGATAACTACTACTACACTAGCTTTTATACTACAAGTCCGGAATAATTTTAGAATACTTGAAACGAGTCCTTAGTAAGTCCCTAGTACATAGATTGGTAAGAAATGATACAAAACGCATGCTCCCAGAGTTCTAAAGTAACAGCACCTGCACAGTTTTACTGCATATAGACTTAGTGATCAGAAAGAATTCTGCCGACATACGGACTCTTGGGCTGCTGTGTTGCTGCAGCAAAGTACACTGAAGGTAGTACACTGAAGTAGATGCATGCGGCATTGTCTTGGCATTGTAACAGCCTTAGTAAAGCTAGTGGAAAGGTCATGGTATTAAGTCTTTTGCTGTGGAATAGGTATTTTGGCTGTGGCATTCTATTAAGTGACACTTGATGCTGATGTCAGCAATGGCTGTGCTAGGCGATCAATGATGGTCCTAATTCCATGAGATCTGCAATCAGGTGCCTGGCAGCAATAATGAAGTGGCGCATATTGATGCGAAATTCGAGTTGGGATGGATAGTTGGAGGTAAAAGTGGGTATTTCCGTGATTGCAATTGTTGACTTAGGGAAAGTCCGCTAAGTGGACAAGGCATTTATTATAATGCTAAAATCTGTGAATTCTGAGCGTACAGAGCCTTGAGGCTCATCAATGCACACATGGAGATGTTGTGGACCTATCATCTTCAAGACTCACACTATGGGATTGGCCTCCATGGTCAGATCCAACATGTGGTTGCTCAGTTATCGGCAGAACACTGCCGGGTGGAATGGCACATTTGGGAGTTGTCGAGGTGTGACTCTTATCATGATACTGTGCATAGAATTTTCCTTTAGTCTCTCTTTATTCTTCGTGGCTTATTCTCATGTAGCTTGTCTTCGACGAATTGCTCTGCATTCCTGGAGACCCTGATTATTCACCTAATGGTGAACACTGTATGTCAGAATATGACCTCATGCCATACTGTGTCGAGAATATCATCACGCCTCCTGTCCAGTCTAGCATGATGCCTTCCCCCAGTAAAACGGCTCTACCTGCCGATCTCAGGTAATTAACTTCTCTGGCCATTAATTTATTTTCTCCTGCCTTAATACTTGTTCACTAGCCCTAAGGTTACCAAGCCTCCTCACCCAGTAATGATCAAGAGGCCTCAACCACCAAGGGAACTTTGTATGTGACTCTCTGTTTATCTTTTTCCTCTCTGATTAAATTCTCATAGCTTTTGCCAACTATCATGCCTCCAACAAGGTGGAAAAGGCTTCTAAGCCAGCTGCACCTGCTCCGGCACCCAGCTCAAAAATCCCCGCACCTGTGAGTGTACTGACTTAGTCTCTCATGTTCTGCACTTAGACTATTCCGTTCTCCTTTCTAGCCTGCATGCCTTATGCACAAGTGAGCTCATGAAGAGCATGAGCGTGACAGTGTAAGTACATTTTTGCTCTGTCTGTACTTATTCTTATTGACGCTTTTTCACTTTTAGTCGCCTATTTTAAGTACTCCGCAAAAGGCACAAGCTTCTATGTAAGCTCCTGTTCTTTTGCTATCCACTTTTTATCCAATTTCCATTTCTTCCTTATAGATTTCATCATGTGGGACCCAAGAAGGTGTCTCTGTCCCTCAAGAAACCCATAGTCACAGCCAAAAAGCCGGTGATCCCAGGTGATAATCTATTTGTCCCTCTACTTATTCTCTCTGCTGATGACTTCTTATTCCTAGCTCCTCCTATCACATCTTACGAAGATGAGGAGATGGAAGGAGAAGAAGCAGAGGAGGAAGGAGCTGTGGAGGAGGAGTTAATAGAGGAGGACTCTAGTCTTACTTCTCCACTGGTAAAGCGTGTATGAAGGCAGTCACCTGATGTGCCACCCCCTCCTCATGCATATCATCCTCTCACTGGAGAGCCGTTAAATGGCCTCTCATTTATTTCATTTTCTATAGTGTCCAGTGTTCCTGCACTGCCTCTTCCACCTGCTGCACCCTCTGAGAAGACCAAGGGAAAACAAAAGGCTGCTGTGCCTCCTTCCCCATCACCACCACCTCAACCAGCTAAGCAAGGACATGGACAACCCCCCAGTTTCAAAAACAAGAAAGGCCAGGGTGCCTTTAGCATGCAAAAATCTATTCACAGCCATCTCAAGGCCTCTATTGTTACTGGACACTCATGCACCAAGGCTGCATCTGAGGCCTTATCCTATGAGGCACCTTCTCCCAACTCTCAAGACAAGATCCCTGAGGAGGAGATGGAGCCAGTACCCGAGGACAAGGAGGAAGCCATGCAGAAGGGGGATTCTGCACCTCATGTCATGGGTGATGTTGTGCACACATGAAGGTTTACTAGTGCTGTGACTGAGCCCATTGCTTCTGGCTCTGGCATGCCTGAGGAAGAACTTTCTTTGAGCATCCACTCAGTCACAGTTGATGATACCGTGTATGCACATGCCTTCCACCCATTGGTGGACCTCCAATTTCATGAGCCCCTGTCCTGTCAAGCCCTCGAGCACTTCAAGCTCTTGGCTTTACCTCCTGCTCCCGCCTCGCTCTCCAAGTAAGCTATTCTATTGCCTCTTTCTCTTATTTTTCTTTCAGCTGACTTGATCTATTAGGCCCTCAACTGAGATGCACAATGGCCATCCTGCTGCGTTCCGTGCTCATTCAGATCTCAGTGCACATATCTTGCACATGCCTAACGTGAGTTTTAATTTCTCTTCCGATATATTATTTCTTTTCTTATCCAATTTATTTAGATCTTCCATCCCTGCTTCAATTGTAGCTTCTCCAGTTTCCCTGAGCTCTGCGAGTTCACTGGTGAAATTGGCAAAGAGGCCTGTACCAAATACAGGGCTAGCAGGCATGGAAAATGTTCTGCTTGACTTGACACCTCAGGTTATCATGTGATCTCCTTGGTTCCACTTGAGGCCTATCTTATGATATACAAGCAAAGCCTGTATCTTACTATTAAGGCCCTTGTCTAGATCTATATTAAAGCATTCTAGGTACAAAAAATTTTAAAAAGGCTTCATTATGTATTATATGAATATCTAGTTGAAATAATATAGTATCTTTCAATAACACACATGCTTTCTAATTAATCTTACTTTATTTTAATCACTACTCCTCACCATGTGTTCACATATCTAGATTTTAGCATATTCCTAACACTATTCAGTATTCCAGAAGAGCAGTGTCATATTACATATAACAGCTATTTAAATATACAAAGAGCTATCTCAAAATAGTAATATTGATTAGATATAAAATATATATATCTATATGAAGTAATATGAAGGTATTCAGGGTATTAAGCACAGATATCATTTGAAATTGAGCATACCAGTCTTGTATTCCATACACTTGTGTCTGGGTACCAGCAATGCATGCCTGAGGCAATCATCCAGGGGCCTTCAAGCTCTGAAGCATTGATGTGTTATTGGAAGCATTGTTGCCAGGAACTGATAGGAGCTTGTCAACAATCCTGAATTCCTGCAAGGACTTGTACAAGACACTAGCAAGGTTTGAACCAGTATGTGATGATGAGCCTCAAGGCTCTGTATGCTCAGAATTCATGGATTTTAGCATTATAATAAATGCCTTGTCCACTTAGTGGACTTTCACTAAAGTCAATGATTGCAGTCATGGCAATACTCACTTTTACTGCCAACTATCCTTCCCAACTCATATTCTGCATCAATATGTGCCACTTCATTAATGCTGCCAGGCACCTGATAGCAGATCCTACGGATTTAGAAACAGCTTTGATCATCCAGCACAGCCATCTATGACATCAGCATCAAGTGTCATTTAGAAGAATGCCACAGTCAGAGTACCAATTCCATGGCAAAAGACCTAATACCATGACCTTTCCACCCACTTTACTAAGGCTGTTACAATGCCAAGATAATGCTGCATGCATCTACTTCAGTACACTCACTTCAAGGTACTTTGCCACAGCAACACAGCAGCCCAAATGTCCATATGTCAGCAGATTTCTTTCTAATCACTAAGACTATACATGGCAAAACCGTGTGGGTGCTGTTACTTTAGAACTTTGGAAGCATGTGTTTTGTATCATTTCTTACCAATCTATGTACTAAGGACTTACTAAGGACTCGTTTCAAGTATTCTAATTTTATTCCGGACTTGTAGTATAAAAGCTAGTATTTACCATGGAAAATGGTAGTTACTAGGTTGCTATGACCATTACCACTTGTACCCACTAAGAGACAGACAATAACAACATAGTCACTCTGAGTTTTACTCTCTGTCATGGCTTTTCTTCTAACAGTATTGGTGTACACTCATATTGCACCAATATATGGAAATTCGTGTCCACAACTCACTTTTATCTTTTATTCTGCCAGCATCATTTTACTTTCACCAGCCAGGATCGTTTTCATCAGCTTTCACCTTCTACATCGCCATTGTTTTACCCCAGCTCAGTTCAGGATCGTTATGTCCCTGTGTGGACTCAGATTAGGATCATTATTGCTGCCAGCAGCATCTGTCATGGAATTTTGGTCAACAGTATAGGATTACTTGCCACAGTATTTGTTATCTTGCCATCAGTTTCAGTATAGGATCGTCTCCATGTAGACTCAGGATTAGTATCAGTTTTGTTTTGCCATCGTTAACCTCAGTACAGTTTCAGTTTCAGCCTAGCCCAGTCTCAGTCATCATTTTGCCATCACTAGTTCCCCTTCATATCACTGCTAGCTCATCTTATCCTTGTTTTACTGCCAGTCTATCGTTTCTCGACTACAGTCTTCATTTATTACCATCCCAGTATTTGTTATCTTGCCAATGGTATTTCTCTTCAACAGCATTTTCCCTAAATCCATCAACATCATCCACAGCATTTACTAGTTAATTGTTGCCACTTCCTTCACAGTTTGCTGGTATTTCCAGTTATACCAGATTCCATTCCTTCTCATATATCGAGACCCTTCCCGGCTTACAGCCAACGCTTTCTAGTACTTGATCATTAAGGGTACTACTTCACTGACTGAAAAGTTGCAGTGTATACTTGTGTTCTTGAGAAATTCATCATATGGAGGTGCACCAAAACACTCGCAAAACAACTAAGCCTTTATTGCTGCTATGCATCATTTGCCATGAACTCATCTAGAGTTTTGGTTTTGCCATTGCCATAGAAGTTTAGGCTCATCAGCAACTCATGAAGGCTGAACCAAATTGAGTAAAAACAACACAAACACAATTATAGAACTTACTGTATCATGTCCATTGTTAGAACTTGCATCTTGCCATCCTGAACCCACACTATGACAAGCCTCATGAGTGACAGCTTTTGAGGTGCTGACCAGCCATCCTGAGCTATGTGGATCTTGCCATGAGCACCCTACATGAGTCATAAATAGAGAACAGCTTGAAGAATAACAAGCTACATACCTGGAGAAGTTTCTTCACTTCCTTTTTTACCATGATATAGATATAGACTTCCTTCAGGTCATGGGAGACAGTATCAGCTGATGGTACCCTGACATTTGCGTTCATCATATGGAGGATGTCAAGATACTCAGGATTCTTGAACATGTGGTAGGGTTGATGGCATCAAGCAGCCCAATAGACCTGCTTGAGTCACAGGTGGCCATAGGTGTAGGTGCTCCCTTGAATGAAGGGCACTAGACTGGACTGTTGAAGAGGAGGTTCTCCATTTTGTTCAACAGCAGCTTTCTCAGAAGCAGCTTGTTGCTTTTTGCAAGCTTTCATGTGGTTGTTCAAATTGGAGGTACAGTTGTCCGAGAAGAGATTTGAGTACCAGTGCTGGAATGACAAATTGAAGAAACAAATGGTCATATCAATAGATCATGCTTACTGAGAACAAGTAAACTCTTGGGCCCATTGCGACATCTTCTCATTCCAAGTCACTTCAATGTTGGCTTCAAAATGGTCATAGGTCACTAGAGACCTTCATGATTGCATACCCGGGTACATCCATATCCACAACCATGGGTACCTGTGGCTCCAAAGCCATACCCATCATCCATGCCAACATCTGTGGCACAGATGACCTGACCCATGCCATGAGTACCTGCATCTGTGGCAGGTACCTGCACTCACCTAGGTATATACAGGTACCTGCATAATACCCACCCAATTCTTACTCAATAAACTACAGTAGACTACACTATGCATGTAACTAACATTTAATCAACTTATCTGTCCTGCATTAAGCCTCACATAGTGAATAAGGAGGAGGAGGAAAGGAGGATGCTGATCTATAATGGTGATGACACTGCCGGAGTAGGAAGAAATGCCATTGGGTTGTGCTGGGGTTGTCTGAAAGTTATTGACAAGGGCTTTCAAACACCCTAACAATGAAGGGAAATGATCAAAAAGCGAAGAAGATATGCACTGAACAAAATAATATCTAAGTCAGACAGTGATGGTGATGATCAGGGAGCAGCACTGTGAGATGGTAACAGATAAAGGACACTAAGGGAGTGTCAGAATATGTCAAAAAAGAGCTTTAAGAGTGTACCAAGTATGTAGGGAAGCACTCATCTGAACCCAAGATAGCTTGAATATGCTCTCCATCCCCTGCCAAAACAAAGATCCTGTCATAACTCTGCAACAATGTGGCCAATTTTAGCGAGTAAGAGGTTGGTTGAAGCCACGAACTGGGGCTTTCAAACACTCCTAGATGCGAGAAAACCCAATGGAAAACGATGGAAAAATCACCATCACAAGATATTGATCTGAGCTTATGAGGTGGAGATTTGATGTGGGGGAAGACTATAGACATGTGAGAGTTCAGAGTTGAGGTCTAGAACCAAGGACCAAGGACTAAGGTAAAATGACTGACTGAACCATGTCTGGGCACCAGGAAGATCCATGAAAGGGCAAGGTGGTGGGAGGAGAGAGTATTCCAGTGGCTGTGCAGGTACCTGTGATGGGTACCCATCACATCAAGAGCCATACCCGGCATCCATACAGCACCTGGGTGTCACAGATACTGTGACATCCATGGATGTGTACCTGCCAGGTACAGATGCCGGGTTACCCACAGATACCTGTCAAATACCCAGCAATTGTGAAGGTCTCTATAGGTCACCACATGCCACTTGGTCTTCATCTTGGCTGTCAAAAATAATCAGAAAACTGAAGGCAGTGGAATCAAGTGAGGTGTACCTAATTTCTTCATGAATTTTTGTCAACACTGTTCAGTGTTCAGATGAACCACTCCATTCTCTCCAGCCTGGGCAGACACTTCCAACATTGAAGGTGTATCACTGTGAGAGGGTTCTTCGACTGCAGCATCTTGGTAGTCTTCAGAATTACTGTCATCATTGGCTGGGTGTCATTGACATTTACAGTGTGATGGCATCTCTGAGAGGCTGGCATCGGTATCAGTGGTGTTAGATCATGTGTGCTTGTTGGAAGCATTAGACTCTTGGCATGATGAAGAGGTGGATGGAGCCATAGTCATAGAGAGTGGAAGAGTACTTGAGTACCACGGGTTGGAGGTTAAATAGATAATCAGCTGTGATTAGAACAATGAACCAGAATGTAAAACAAATTAGTATATTGGATTGTCTGTTGATAGCGCACAATGAATTGTGCATTTTGCCACAGAGCACACAACAAGACATCTTCAATAGATCTGAATAAAAGACAAATTTGTAAGCTTGATAATAGTCAGTACACAAGAACATTCAGTTCAAGGCATAATGCAGCACAAAAATATGAAAATTGTAGCATTTTTTCTTCAAATATACATAAACACACAGTAAACATAGTATAAAGTTAGAAAGGATGTTAACTGATGAGAGAATCCTGATCTACAGAGAAATACACAATGTCACATGGACTCACACTTGACAAGGCCCTCATGAAATCCTACATTGAACTCAAGAAGTGAGATGTAATGGCAAAAGATACAGAAGTCAGGGTTACACACCAATCACTGGTACAACCAACAAAGGTGAGGGCTGCATCGTTAACAAAAATGGGAGTCAGATGGGGCACAGTAAAGGGTGATGACAGGTGGTGGAAGGGAGAAGTTGGACTCTCAATTGCCAAGGAAGTACCCAGCTGTGCACGGACTGTAAAGCCCTTTAGAGATTCACTTACTAGGCTTTAAGTTCAATTGAGATCACTCTCATTATTCTTGACGGACGTATCGGGATTATCGATCAGTGGTGTGTAAGTAACTAGTATTTCTCAATACAGAAGGCTAAGAGAAGGCTTAGAACTTAGAACTAGCCAAGTTAGTGCATTCTCAGGCCTGACTCAGGTCCTACTTAGTTTTGAGATCACACAAGTGTTAGCCACTAACTCTATCGACTTAGATCGTACTAGGATCCCTACTCGCACTTCGGTAGGAGACGCTCTAGTAAGTCAAAGGCAATGAAAGTCGATGGGACAGATAGTCACGAAGGGTGGAGTTTGATGTTAGGTAGATTAAACCTTAGCCGAAGCTGGGGATTAAGCCAGCTGAGGCTCTACTTAAATACATGTTGGTAAACTAAAAATAGTACTGTGAGAATGCATCCGTCATGATCGCATACGAGTAATCAGGCTGAGTAATACAAAGGAAAAAGAAAAGAAATGAGTAAATCGTAACATTACCCCCTCCTTAAGACTCATTCGTCCCGAATGAGAATATGTCTCCTTCCTTCCACATGGGCGAGTAAGAGGGTCTATTACGATTTCGTTGTATCTTATCTTATCGGCTCTATCGTAATCTCGCTATGCTAATTCTCCGGACTTGATCGCATTCACCATGCGGGTTCAGTACGTTTACCGTACCATTGCAGACACTTGTAGTATATTTAGCACGACCCAAACTGTATTTAAGTAGCTCGACTGCAGGTCTTCAACCTCAGTCTCGAACTAAAGTTTATTCACCCGATAACTTAGTCTGAACTCACTCTCGCTCAACTAAGCGATAGCCCCCTTAATGCAAACCTGCGGACAACATAAAGCGCCTGACCGAAGTGCGAGTCATGCTTAGTTGTTTGATCCTGTTTGTGAAATCGGTCGCTAACAATTAGTTCGAGACTTTCTCACTCTTCATCAACAACTACGTTGACGAACAGTAACGAATGAACCCTGTTGAACAATATCTCACCGACCTCTTTGGACTACAAGGCTTTATCGCCATAGCCTATCTCGCATTCCTATATGGATACGAGCACAGATGAAACCAGGAGCCAGTCTCCGAAGAAACTCTCACTGTCGAAGCCCCCAACCCGGAGGCTAGACGACTGAACACACCCCCCCCGACTACGTCGACGACCGACCCGTACCACACGTCCACTTCATCTTCATCAATGACGACGAGTGGATCCCAGAAAACTCCGACACAGATGAGTCCAGTGAGTCCAACTCCGAGGTGGAAGGATGGCCCACACAAAGAGGCCCAGTCGTTGAAGAAGAAGAAGAGCGAGGAATCTACGAGCAAGGGGTGGACCAGCGTATTCTCTCTCCCATTACCGAAGAGGAAAGCGAAGGGGAAAGCGAAGGAGGAAACCCCTGGGATGCCCCTTCCCCTACCTCCACCGAAAACTCAGCCGCCAACCCTGGCTATGATTCATACGGACAGCGCCTCTATCAAAGAGGGCTTAGATATCATCTTGGAGAAAGAGGAGAGGCTGAAAATGGAACTGGAAGCAGTTCAAATGAAGAAGGCAGTGATACAGAGGAAGACGACCAAAGCGACGAGCTCCCAGGGCCGCGCAACGACTGGTCCCCTCCAAGGCTGGACTCCAGAGGAGAAACATGGGGAAACCACTACGCCCGCAGTGACACAACAGACAATGAAGAAGAGTACCTCCACCTCGTCACGCGCCCAAACACCCCAATCATCATCAACGATAGGGCAGGGGAAGCCACTACCGAGCTCGACCAGTGTGAGCCCACATACGATGCCGATGCCAGCTGCGATGTATGCAGACAAGCACAGGACTACGCCGACGCATGGCTTATGTACAGAGGAATCGAACCCCCCTCCTCAGTCGTCCCATACGCCATCTATCCCCTTGCACCAGAACACCCCCTTGCCGCCCCCGTCCCCTTCATTGCACCTTGGGTATGGGATAGACCCCGAAGACCAGACTTCGATCAAGTCATACTCAGGGTCAACGAGTGGGCCCGAATCATTCGAAACTGGAACCGTATCGTCACAGGAAGCACGGAGCCTTTCGAGCGAGTCCGACCAATCGGACTTAGAAGAAGGAGAAATTTACGAGAACCCTGGAATAGGGCAGACTTCGATTTACAGCAGCAGCATCGGGTCAGAGAATACGGAGAGGAGGACATCATACCAGAATTCGTGGAAGGATCTAGCTCGGGAGCCTACTGAGGCCGAGCTAGAAGATATGACATACTTGGACATGCTACGATGGATGGAGAAGAAATTACCCCGGGAATTGTCATGGAACAGTTCCCCGCAAGGAAGGTACTTCCAGAAAGAAAAGAATTCCCAAATCGGAGCCCAGGTAATCTATTGAGAAACGGTTTTCCACACCAATATCCTATGGAACCAAGTACACCCAGAGGACTATACAGATCCCGGGGAACGATACCAGGTGCCTGCACCATCAGAAACGTCAAGCGGAAGCACAGTGGACCTGAGCCACCTATCCATTCTTAAAAGAACCGGGTACGTCGACCCTAGCCGACTATTCGCCGCTGCAGGAACACCGGGAAGTGCAGGCACTGCCGCAGCAGCAGCAGCTGCCCCCGTGGCGCCACCCCCTGTGCCGCAAGGCCCTCTATCCCCACATCACAACCCTGCGTTACGATCATTACCACGACCAGCAGCAATCCCTATTCCCGCTGACCCAGTACAACCACCAAACACGCCACCACCTTTTATTGTCGGAGTGGCCAACACGA